AGTCATCCCCGCCTGTGGCCAGCAGCCTCCCCGAGGCTTTGCCCAGCACCAGCGAGGACACATTGCTGGCGTGGGCGACGATCTCCTCTACACAGGAAAGAAAAGGGAGAAGGCAGTCAGGGTCCTAGATGGGGCCATGTGGGGGGGGGGGGCTGCTTGGCCACCAGCTCTGGATCGGAAACCTAGACAACTCCCACGAGCTGTAGGGCCAGCGACAGGACTGGGTATGGCCTGGGACTGAAAGGACTCTCAATGACAGTTATTCCTGTCCTATGCATGATTTGTTCTTTTTCTTTTTTTTTCTTTTTTGCACATCAACTGATAATACAGCTAACTACACAATCAGACCTCATTTTTAAAAATATTAGCAAATGAATGTGTGCACTGGACACAGACAGACACTCTTTTCTTGTCACTATGCCCTAAACAATAGAGTGTAACGATCACTGACATAGCACTTACCTATCAGGCATTATAAATAATTGAGAGATGATTTAAAGCAAATGGGAGGAAGATCATGGGCTCTATGCAAATAACATGCCATCTTATACAGGGGACTTCAGCATCATTCAGATTTTGGTATTTGCACATAGAGGACCTGGAACCAAGCCTACATGGATACCAAGGGACAAATAAACTAAAATTTTAAGATTAACTTGCTATTTTCAGTTAACTTTGTCTTAAGCAATATGCTCATGATACTTTTTTCATAACAGGAAAAGAACAAAAAAAATCACCATTGAAATAAATATATATATATATATATATATATATATATGCACTAGGTGCCACTCACACGCAGACCCACCCCAGGACACAATCTCAAAACAACAGAAGTGCACTCTAGGCAGGCTGTCCCCAGGTGAGCTCACACAGGGCGGCGCTCAGATTCCATCCTCAGGTGCTGGCTGAGCTCTGCTGGTTGCTACTGTGTGGCTTTAGACAAGTCACTTGTCCTCTGAGGGCTGATCCTTGTCTAATAAACAGAATGACCATAGTGCCTGCCCTGGGGGTTGCTGCAAGTTTGTGGGAACGGGTTTGTCCCTGAGCTGCTGAGGAGGGAGCTGCTGCCCGGGGAGGCGGGGGCTAAGGGCCAGCTGCCCCAGGAGCGGGAGCGGCTACCGGGGCCAGGCAGGTTGGGGAGGGCTCTGTGGGGAGGGCGCAAGAGGCACCAGAGTGGACTGGGCGGGGCGAGGCTGACCAGACACAGTAGGAGATAAGGCCTATGGGCAGCCAGCAGGGCCCCTAGCCTGGGTTGTGGGGCCCCAGACCTAATCCTCGGGGGGCGGGGGGGGCTCATCTGTGCTCTGAAGGGAGCCAGGTGGCAGCCCAGGCCTCTGAGCCAGTCGCTGGGCGAGTTCCTCCTGGAAACAAAGAGGAGCAAAGGCAGGCCTCCCCACACAGGCAAGGGAAATCTCCAACATGCCAAGGCCCTGAGGGTTGGTCTGGGTGACAGGAGGAAAAGGTCTGTCACAGCTGGTCTGCAGAGGGCCCTTCCTCTGCCCCAGCTCCGACTCCAGCCTGGCTGAGTGGCTCTGGTGTAGGCGGCAGTGCACAAGCAGGCTGAGAAAGTAGGCCTGGGAAAGCCAGGCGGCCTGACTCAGAAGGGCTGTCCAAGATGCCAGGGGCCCAGGCCACAGGCTTGACCTCACAGATGACACCTCCCCAGGGCCGGAGCTCCCTGCAGGCCCAGACATCAGCTGGGGTACTGGAAACTCACCATAAGGATTCCAGGGAGTCCGCCCTACTCAGCCCTCACACCAACCACAGAGCCTCCTGTTCTGAGCACCAGGGACAGAGATGTCTGGGATCGATGGCCAAGGCACTTATCTATTCCAAAGCTTCTGCTCAGCCCAGCAATAAGGGAACCCATCTTTTCCCTGAGCACTTTGCCCACAAACTTTGAGCCCTGTCCCCTCCTCTGAAGCGATTCCCTATCTACTTTGCCCTCTCCCTGGACCAACTTGAGGCCTCCCTTAGTGTGCCCTGACTCTGATCCTTACTGCTGAAAGTTCTTGCTGGATCTCAGGAATGCGGTCTCTGGAGATGGCCATCAGTTCATAACAGAAGCATTTCTGGTCAGCCCTCACCCAGCCCAGTCCATTCTAGGCCTCGCACGGGGAGACTGTGGGGAGTGAGAGCCAGGGTTCCTGCCTCAATGCTCCAGTGCAGTCCCAGTCCCAGCATAGGGCACAGGGATGGAAGAGCTGCAGACTCTGGGTAAGAAACACCTCTTCTCTAGCAGTGTGGCCAGGCACTGAGCACAGCCTAGGAGGGGTGGCAGGAGGCATGCCCCAGGAACGGGCAGGGGGCACAGGATGTAGGCTGAGACTCCCGCTTTGTCTTGGCTTGAAGGCCATCAACCAGCCACAGCCCACACCTGAGTGCCCAATTTTAATGCAGACACATCACAGTTCTCAGTGTCTAACAGCAGACTGGGTGACAGCAAACTGCTCTGCCCTGCACAATCCCACATCACTTTTCCTGGGTGCCACATCCCAGCCCAACAGAACACTTTGTTTTCTGGCCAGATATGCCAAGGACCTGCATCCTAGGTAGACGAAGCAAAACTGGGCTTCAACAGGTCCATCCGGCCAAGCACCTCCTGACCCTAGAGTCACACGATCCTGAGTTTTTCAGACAATTTATACCATGGAAAGCACTGTGCACATGAAATTGTTTGCAAATGCCCAACATTCCTAGGCACACTGCCTCCTGCTCCAATACTCTGATGGCTTGACCTTGCAATTCAGAGAAAGCTGTGTCAAAGGGCTGAGGTCCTATGGACACGGGCCCCTGCAGGACTCAATGGCTTCCTCTGGCACCATGTTCTCCCTACTGCTGAGCCACAGCCCATAGTGTCCATTAGGTCCTTTTAATACACCAACCTTCCTGCTTCGGGGTCTTTGCGTTTGCGGCTCAAGCAGCCTACAGCACCCCCTGCCCCAGTGCCCTTGTCACTCAGTGACTCAATGCACATGTACTATCTTGGAATTAGATAAGGTCGGAAATGGATGGATGTGGTTATCCAACTCCTGCCTGTTGCTCTCCCGAGGCTGAGCTCCAAGGGTACAGTAACCCTGTCCATTCTGTCCCCCCACTGGGTCCCCACTGCCTGGCTCTATGCTCAGCAGAGAATAGCTGTTGAAGGGATAGATACACAATCCCAATAAATATGAAATGGCTCTGTCCAAAGTAACCCCATGCTTTGGGGAACCATAAAAGGGTTCTCCCAGAACTTTGTTCTCCATAAAAGAACCATAAAAGTTCTCCACAGAGCTTTGGAGATATTTTGCATATGCCCCGAGTGTCTCACTTTGTAAGTGAGGAAAGTGGGGTCCAGCAAACAGCTTTGCCCAGCACCTCGTGGCTAAAAAGTGGTTTAGCCTTACCCCAGCTCCTGAGAGCAGCCAGGGACAGTGTGCAACAGAAGATGAGCAGGTGGAACACATCAAATCTATGCCAACAAGTTACAACTGAGGTAGGACCCATAGAAGGGCCAAGGTGTACAGCAGTTCTCCAGATGTGCTCTAGGGATCCTTGGGATCCTCAAAATCCTTCTAGAGGGTACAAAAGGACAAAACTATCTTCCTAGCTACACTAAGATGGTATTTGTGTTTTGTACTTTCGTTTGCTCACAAGCATGCAGTGGAGTTTTCCAGGAGACACATGACATGATGACATCATCACTCTGTCCCTGTCTGATAATACACTCTTGCATTTCAAACTGTCTCTATTAACTTCTAACATGGTGAATATTGACAAGAAAAGCACTTTGGGGTCCTCAATAATTTTTAAAAGTATAAAGGGGTCTTAAATCAAAGAGTTTAGAGCTACTCGTGTAAAGTAATGGTGGGGGTGGGGATGCTCATGTTCGGTTACGTTCCAGAGCCCAGTCAGCATCCCTGTGCTCACTCTTACTCCCACCACCCTTCCCCACCCATATCCCAGGATGCTTTCATTAGACCAAGGAAGTCTGACTTGGGAGACATATTCTCATCCCATTCTGCCTGTTGGCCTAGCTGGCAATCCTATGTTCGAAATCTCACTTCAAGCTCACAGCAACTATCGAATGTGGTGTGATCATTGTACAGATAAGAAAAGTAAGCCTTAGGTTAAGTCACCTGTACATTGTCACCACTCAGCAAAGGAGTGCCACAGGCACGATTTACATCTTTGTCTACCTTACAAGGCCTGGGAGTCTCTGTCTGTTCCAAGAAGAGACACAGCCACAGGTTCAGGCTGCCCAGCAAAGAGCAGCTAACAGAATAAACAAAATGATACAGAAAAATGAAAACTACTCACGCAACTTCCAGGCTGTCTTCGTGACCACAGGGGTGGCCATCCTTCAGGGCTGGCACTTAAAGCCCCACCCACAAAATGGATTGTGCCTTCTTCTGGGGTGGGGGTGGATCCCCCCCAGATCCACCAATCAAGGTGGCAGAGAGTTGACACACATCCAGGCAGAGAGAATGTCTCCTCTCCTGGCCCTGGACGACCTGGTGTCTTTAACTCATCCACAGCAGCAATAGCAGCAGCTTCTGCACATCTGTCAGGATCCCAGATCATGGAATATCAGGCATGGGCCATCTCAGCTCAACAGTGGGCTGGAATACAAACCGAGGTAAGGGTGTGTTAGGAAACATTTGGGAAGAGCTGCAGCCCCCTGGATCACCAAGGCCACTTGATAAAAACTGACCCGCACCAAAGCAAACCAGAATCAGGAGCTGCACTGCAAATTGTTGTTGAGGATTTGCAGAAGGGGCACCTCAGGCAAGGCCACTTAGAGCACAGGGAGAAAGGCCCTCCCAGAAGCTGTGATAATGGGCAGCAGCTCTGCCACAGGACTGCTGGCTGCCTGAAGTGCAGCAGCTGCAGTGGGGCGGGGAAGACCACGTGTCTAAATTTCTGGGAATCACTGTTTTCACCTGACGTATAGGATGGAGGGTGGAGTCAGAGGCTAAGCTTAGGGGCCCAGGAGAGGCACCCCAGAGGCTGCCATTGACAAGGTCCTCTCTAGGAATAATCCCAAAAAGGAGATTGAGGGTCCAATCCCCCAGCTCCTGGTAAGGGAACCTCTCCTGACCACTGAAATCCCCAAGGGCAGAGCTGGAAAGTAGGCCTCCATCTGAGCGTCAGAGGTATGACTCCTCAACTCTGAAAAGCCACCTCACGGAGCCTCCCACCCGCCTCCCACAGCGGCTTCGCCTCTTTCCCATGAACCCTCTCCCTGTGTTCCCTTTCTCCTGCCTCCTGGGTCTCCTATTCGAGCACATCTTACCTCCTGAACTCCCTAATTTGGTCCCCACCTCACCAGATCCACTTTACTTCCCTTGCTCCGCTGCCACCAGCGCCGCCCATTCATTCGCTCTTAGGCTTCATGTGCCCCTACTCATTACCCATCCTCCTTCAGACCCCCAATTCTGCTTCCGGCCTCCCTAGCTTTCCCCCTCCGGCCTCCCAGCTGGCCCCGTTCGTCCCAAGGTTGGGGCTGGTCCATCGGGTTCGCCTGATCCTCCCACCCCTCTCGGCTTGCGGGGCACCGGCTGTAGGATCCCCCGCCCTGAGCCCTCTGCCAGCAGCTCGACCGGCCCTGCCGGGCTCGGCCCAGCCTAGGGCCCATCTTGCCCTTGCCTCCGCGCTCCCTTGCCCACTTTACCTGCAGCAGCGGCTCCTGAGGCCGAGGCTTTGCTCCAGGCGCGACCCCCACTTGCCTCCATCCCCTACCCTGATTGGCCGCTGCTTGACAACCGACCCTCACAACAAAACCTCCGGCCCAGAGCCCCGCCCACCCCGCCTCCCACACCAATCATCCGCCGCGGACGCTCCGCCTTCTACCAAGTTTGCCCAATGGAAGCAGGCGCTTCTGCCGCTTTTCTTAAGTACCCGCCCCCTTTTCCTGAATCGGACTAATCACGAGGAGGGAGGGTTCAAGAGACGCCTTTTGGTCTCTACTATACCAACGCGGGCTGCCATTTTCTTTGACCCGCCTTCGCTTCACGTTTTCCCTTTCCTCTTCTTCCTCCAACCTAGGTTGCGTTTGAAAACTTTGCGAGTCGCCTCCAATGGCGGTCGCTCCAATCCCTTTAGCAACCGTCCTGGATAGACCAATCAGCATCCACATTATTGGAAAAACCAATCCCGCGGTAGCCAATGGGAAGGGAACTTGGAGAGCAGCCTGAAGCCGCGAACCCTTCCATCTTGGAACCGGGCGAAGCCAGCGGAGGACTTAGTCAGCATTTTGCCAGTAGTTCTCCTCCATGCATTTCCCTGCGGGCAGTGCCGCAGTGATCTGAAGACTTTGCGTCTTTGATCCAAACGGCGCCTTGAGTTCCCCGCGGGAAACTTGGAGCGAAACAGAGCTAGATTCCCGGTCCGAGTCAGGCGCGGAGCCCGGGAGTGCGGGCCCCTCAGCCTGAGCCCCGGGCCGGCGGATGAGTGGGCAGCAGCAGCAGCAGCAGCAGCAGCCTGTTGTCCATGCGGGGTGCCCTCAGGGAAAGGCCTTAACTACCGAGTGCCTGAAGACCCTAGAACCGCCTGGTTTATCCTCCACGCTGCACCTCCGGTCGGGACAGCTTGGCCACAACCCCAAGGGGTAGGAATTACCCGTTTACAGAAGCGGAAACTGAGGCCCAGGTTAAGGTGCTTATAAAAGACCACGCATCCGAAAAGAATGGCCCCAGGACGCGAATCCTTGTTCTTAAAGTCAAAGCCTGGGAGATCCCCTCTGTACAGGACCCCCTCTGCCAGCGCAGGGAGCTGAGAGTCCACCCACCGTCACGTGGTACTTTGGGGAAGCTGATCCGGAGGGGAGTTTGGGGATTTTTAAGAGAGGGCTGGATTAGGAGAATAACTGCGAGTGAAAGTGTACCGCCTGCACTCCCCTACTTTACTTTGTACCGGACATTGCACCCAGCCCCTTTTATTTTTTGGGAGAGGGTTTCGCTAAGTTGCTGAGGGTCTATGTAAATTGCTGAGGCAGACCTAGAAATTACGATCCTCCTGCTTCAAGCCTCTGGGATCGCTGGGATTGCAGGTGTGCACCACTTCCCGCTTTTTAATACCCCCCAAAATATATAACTTTTTTTTTTTTTTTTGGTACCAGGGATTGAACCCAGGGTAACCACGGAACCACATCCCAGCCCTTTTAAAATGTTTTATTTAGAGATGGGATCTCCCTGAGTTGCTTAGAGCCTCCCTAAGTTGCTGAGGCTGACTTTGAACTCAGGATCCTCCTGCCTCAGCTTCCCCAGCCGCTGGGATTACCAGCATGCGCCACTGTGCCCGGCAAAACTTAATAGTAACTTTGAAAAATCACTTTTCATAGAGAAAACTTGAAAATATAGCACATGATATTCACCATGTACATTGCGACACTTGTTAACATCTTGCCATATTTGCTTTGTGTATTTTTTCCTGGACCCCTTGGAAATTGTAAATATTGTGACATTTCAATCCTGACACTTAGAATACTGAGCAAACATGTAGGTCTTTAAAATCGGGCTGTTATTCCAACATAACCATTGTTATCACCACCCCTAAGAAAATTAATTCTCTGACAGCCAGTCCATACTTGATGCCTTCAGTTATCCCTCAAATATATTTAAAAACTTTTTTCTTTTCTGTAGGAACCAGGCTGGGGGTATAGCTCTTTCCTAGAGCCCCCATCTAGCAGGAGAACTGTCTACAGCACTGGAAAAAAAAAAAAAAAATCTCACCAGGAACCAATCAAGATTCATCATACTTGGCTCTTTTAAAATTCATTCTGTTTCCATCCCCCAATCTTTAATTTGTTTTAATGACATTAATCTCTTGAAATTAAGCCCTTTCCTTATAAGGGACCCCATGTATTGGATTTGTTGTCTGTTTCTTTCAACTGCCACTTACATTGTCCCTCCTCCCCTGAGTTTCTTGTGAACTGGAAGTTAGTTCTAAAAACTTGACAGATTCATGCCATGCATTTAAAGACATTTTTTTACAGTACACATACCCCAAAGCGCGTGTTATAAGGTTATCAGTGAGGTTTTGCAGACTGAGAATCCCCAGGTGGAGATCCCACCTCCCACTAAGCCCCGCCCCTTAGGGCTTCCATCACCTCCCAAGAGCGCCACCCTGCGGACCAAGGCGTAGCGCATGGCCTTTAGGTCCTATCAAGATCCAAAATACCGCAGCCCCGTTGAGTGGATGCTACCGGTGGGATTGTTGGGCCAGAGTTTAGCTTTAGTAGGTAACGCCAAATGGTTTTCCAAAAGTGGTCGGACTGATTGACACTTCACTAGGAAAGGTGTTTATATGAGAGTCCGTCCAGTGCTTCTCATGCCACCAACACTCAACCCATGCTGGTGGGTGTGTAGTGGTGTTTCACTTTCCTGTTGACTAATGAGTTTTAAAACATTTTCCTGTGTGTGTGTGTTTTGGCCATTTTTTAAGCTGTCCTAGTGAGTGCTTGCTATGTGCCACTCCCAGCCCTCTCTGCTCTGTAGGTCTTATTTAAAGCAACAGTGGCGTCCCCATTTCACAGACGGGTGAATGGTGAGAGGAGGAACTGGAATCCTTTGCACTCTAATGTCGAGTCCCCGGACTCTTGGTTCGTGGGCATGGGCCTTGGTCTTGCCATTCGCACTTTGTAAGCAGGTCCACCCTGACCGTGTTGAGATCTAACCAGCTGTGTGCAGGTGGCTGTGGGACCCCGATATTCCAACAGAGGGCAGGAAGCAGAAGAGGAAGGCAGCCAAGGAGCAGTCCCAGGCCGTAGGGAAAAGTTTTATGGTTTGGATTTGGAATGTCCCCCAAAGGCTTTTGTTTTTAAGGCTTGGTCCCTGATGCAGCAGGGTTCAGAGGTGGGACTTGGGGACTGGTTGGTCATGAGGGCTCTGACCTCATAGTCGATCAATCCACTGAGGGATTCGTGGCTGAGCAGATGATCAAAAGGTGGTAGGACCTGGAGGGGGTGGGACCTGGTTGGAGGGAGTGGGCCACAAGAGGAGAGCCCTTGTGTCATATATCCTGTCCTTGTCACCCCTCTTTCCACTGCCTGGCTGCTGTGGGGTGAGCAGCTGGGCTCCCTCCCTGAGGCCCACAATTTATGGAGCCTGCCCACCCTGGACTGAAACCATGGGCCAAAATAAATGTTCCCTCCTCTGAGTCGTTTCTTCAGGTATTTTGTCACAGCAGCAAGAAGCTGACTAACCCAAAGGAAAGGAAAAGGGACAGGGCTGAAGCCTGGAGTTCAAAGGCAAATTCAAAGTGTTTATTCTCAGGAAACTGTGAGGAGGGGCCGGCCGCAGTGAGGCCAGGCCCTGAGTAGAGGGGCATGAGCCTGCTCAGGGAGCAGGGGCTCGCGCCATCGAGGTGTCCCTCCCCTGGCCCTTGCAGGGCCCCGCGAGGATGTCAAATGAAGACTTTCAGCAGCTCCGCCAGGCGGGGGTCCTTGAGGAGCTTCTCCTCCAGCGCCAGGTACTTGAGTGGGGCCAGCTCCTTGTGCCTGAGGACAGAGGGAGGCGGTGAGGGACCACGGAGCAGAGGCCCGGCCCCGCAGGTCCTCCCGGCCTGCCCCCTCACCGGTTGAGTCGCTGCTCCAGGATGCGGATGCGGAACATGGCCTGAGAGCAGTCACTCAGGTACAAGTCCTCGTCCTCCGGGGTCAGCGTCACCTGGTTCTCCTGGTACCACTGCTGCTTCTTCTGCAGCTCCTGGGTCTCCTGAGGGTCAGGAAAACGAGTAGGCGGGATGGTGAAGGGGGACCCTCCCCGGGGCTGCCATCCCCCTGGTTACCAGGCAGCCCCACGGATGGTGGCCCCACTGTCCCTGCCCACAGAGTCAGAGGGCCAGAGGCAGGGATCCCTGAGATGTCTTGGGTGGAAGGACTGGGGTCATGTTTAGAGCTGTGTCACATCCGTGAGGTCAGAGCAGGGTCAAGAGGGCCCCGAGGCTCTGGACAAGGTTTTCAGAGCCTCTGATTCCTTGTCTCCAAAACGAGGGACCCCTCTCCCTGCTCCTTGTGGAGCTCTGTGTAAGCGAGGTGCTGCCTGTGTGCCAACCCAACAGAAATGGGTCAGGGACTGGTTATGATAATGTGCCACCCACCCATCCATCTGCCATCCACCCATCCATTCAGTAAACCAGTGACAGAACAGTCAGCCATCCAGAAATGTGTCACCGACACAGTCGGTCCCCCACACATCTATGAGGTTTGGGCAGGGAGCCCCCGGCTGGACGAGGATGCCAAGGCCCCTCCCTGCTGCGGCCTGGCCCACCTTCTCGAAGCGGGCCTGGATGAGGTTGGCCTTGTCAATGAGCCTCTGTTTGAAATCGCCGAGGCACTCCTCCTTGAGGTGCATGGCCTGCCAGCGCGTCAGCTTCTCTCCCGGGGGCAGCTGGGCCAGGAATGGGGCCAGGTAGTCCAGCTGGGTCTCCACCTGCCGCATGTGCTCCTCGAGCAGCACCCGCTCCTGGGGCGGGGAGGGGTGGCTGGATCAGCAGAGCCTTCCCCGACTCCTGACCAGCTCTATCAGCAGAGTGGCGGGTCCCAGTGCCTGCCCCTCTGAAACGGGACAGTCTCTTGTAGCCATCTTTAAGGGTAACATCCAGTTCTATCCTCGACGTGAATTCCCGTCTCTACCTGAGCCTCAGGCTCCTCCTCCGAGGATTCAGATGCCATCACACCTATAAAGCACACGGCCTGGTGCCTGGGATCCAGGAGATGCTTGACGGATGAAGGGCGGTGCTTACCGATGACATAGGGAATGCCAGCTGCACCCTTCATTTTTCCCTTTCACCCTGGCCCTTGTGCCCTACGTGGGTGACCAGTGAAGGTGGAGACATGGGGGCCGAGCTCTCCTCTGGGGATCTGAGAACGGTCATCTGATGCCCTGTCCTGCCTCGCCAAGCCCAAACTGTTTTTAGAAATCTGCACTTGGGACTTGGGTGGTGAAGAGGATTTAGAAGTTGGCTTTGAAAACCAAGCTGGGCCTTGCAGCCTGGCAGTGCGAGCTAAATACCTGGGGGGCCAGCGGCTACCCCCTGGGCTACCAGCTCAGCCACAACTTGGAGAAAGCTTAGGTGGAGGTGGGCATGCCATCCTAATTCTTCCACCGTGACCACAGGCCTTGGCTTTGGGCACAGCCCCTGGGTGAGGAGACCTGGCCTGGATCCCAGATGTTTTTGGGGGTGACTCATGGGGTCAACTCATGGGGTCAGCTCATGGCGAGGGTGAACTCACAGTATCAGAACCTCACCCCTCCTGGAGTGCTCGTGGCGGACTCCCTATGGGCCTCACCACCCTGGCGGCCAGGGAGTCCAGGAAAGCCCAGGCCTGGGCAACGAAGGGCGGCTCACCATGGCCTCCCGATACTCCTTGCTCTTCTCGTTGCGCTTGGTGTCGTAGATGGAGATGGTCAGCGTGTGCGCCTCTTCCTCCTCCTCCAGAAGCCTCAGGATCTCCAGCACCTGAGATGGGAAGTGACGGAGGGCATGACTAAGACCCCGGCTGCCTCCCGCCAGCCCACTCTTCCCACGGGGACTCACCTCCAGCTCCGACTCCCAGACCTGATGTTTGGACAGCTTCTCCTCATTCTTTAGCTGCACCATGGTCTCATACTGGTAGAGAAGCTTCTTGGTGTGCTCCATGGGCTCCACCTGGGACCAGAACCACCACCGTGAGAGAGAGGCTGCCGTGGTGAGGATGGTGGGACCACTTGGTTCAAATCTACTCCTGCCTCTTTCTAGCTGTGTGACTTTGAGCAAGTTGATGAACCTCTCTGGATCTGTTTCCTCACTTACAAATATACAGATAGTAATGGAAGAGGAATTGAAGATGTGGGGGACTGAGGGATATGCCAGGAGGGTGTGGATTTGACTACTGACGGTGAAATCCTCAGAGGAGATGAGAACCTTCTCCCTTCCAGCATGGGTGGCAGGAGTCATACTGGAATCTGTTCTGACTGGGGGGCGGAGGGGGGGGCGGGGACCATGAGGAGCATTCTCGGCCTCCTGGGTTCTATTTTGGTGGAAAAGAGAAGATTTACAGGGAGCTGCAAGGGGAAGGGTCCCCAGATGGAAGCTTTTAATTTTCACAAGGGCAGAGATGAATTTCCAAGGTGGGCTTTGAAAGCGCCCATCCTGGTCCCCCAAGTTGCTGGAAGGGGACCCGGGGCCCGGGTCCTTCTGCACCCCCCTCCGCGGCCGCAGCCCACCTCGAAGCTGATGCACATGTCCGGGGTCATGATGATTTTGTTGCCCTTGTTGTCCACCTCGGTGCGCCGCAGGAACTCGCGCTTGTTGGCGGTGATGTGGTCGCTGCGGCAGTGGTAGCGCAGCTGGATGCGCTCCTCCGTGGTCAGGAACACGCGCTCGGCCACGTCCTCGTCCGCGGGCTTTTCGGGGTTGCGGTGGAACCGCTCAGTGATTTTCTGTGAGGCCAGAACACGCGGGGGTGAGAGGGAGGGGTTTCCGCGGGCGCTCTGCGGCAGGACAGGGGACTCTGACACACTGGGTCTGGATCCTCTGGGTGGCCACACAGGGTACTCGTGGCCCACAGAGTTCTCAGGGCAGGCCACTCCAGCCTCACGTGGACCTGGACCCCTCTCCAGCTCCCTCAGGTGCCAAGTAAATTGTAACGACTTGGAGAAAAATGCCGAGTTCAAGGGAAACAGTTGATCCCGGGATTCTGACCCCTATCCCACCCAGATCTCAGTTAAATGAGAAAGAGACCAAACCCACGGATCCACAGCAGCATCGAGGGCTCGCTGCAAGATGTTCCCTTTACGTTTCTGTTTCTGTTCCCATAGTTTCTAGGAGTTTAGTCCCACGTTGCTTTTTGTAAGGAGGAGGAAAGAAATGCCGCCTTGGCCCAGGGCTTGAGGGCTCGGTGGCGCCAGATGGCTGGGGGTGGTGCATGTGGTAAAATGCTTGGCCCTGGAAGTAACGTGGGCCTGATGCCACTCCACAGCCAGTGC